TGTGTGTGTGTGTTGTGTGTTGTGTGTGTGTGTGTGTGTGTGTGTGTGTGTGTGTGTGTGTGTGTGTTGTGTGTGTTGTTTACATGGAGGGAGAGATAGAGAGAGAGAATTGTGTGCATGTGTGCGTGTTTGTGGGGGGCGGCATTTTGTGCATATGAGTGTGCGCACGGTCAGCGCCTGCTGCGGTAATACGGAGCCCCGCCCGCCGCATTGTCAAACCCATCCGCCACAGCGACCCCCACTCAAACAGACGCTCCGCCGTAGCGCGCCGCCGGCGCCCGCCGCGGCTGCACCCAACACTGCGCACGCTGCCGAGCGCGCGCGCCGCCATCTAGCCCACAGGGCCTGGCGCGCCGCGGCGCGCCCCAGCATCCTCCATGTATATCAAAGAATCACCAGCAGTTGCTTCAGGGCTGGATCCCTGGAGGCCGCCGTGCGGCACCCCACACATGCCAAATGCGTGCCTCGCCACCTCCCATGTCACCAATTGCTGATCATACCCCACACATGCCAAATGATATGATCAGCAAAACCTCAAACCGCCGTGCCCTCACTTTGCCGAGTCGACCTCCTGCAAACAGATGATGTCAGCGGCCGTCGCCTCCAGGACTTCCGCCACCTGGGGCCACCGGCACTGCCACACCTGGTGTCCACGATTTGGGTTTTCGGGTTTTCGCATCCAAACGCAGACGAGACAGGGGCCAGCGGAAGGGTGCATTGGGCGGGGCAGGGGCTGCAGCCGCCGCCGCTGTTTGCAACCTCTGGATTGCGTGCGGCGAGCGGGTCGCGCAGCAAAGCGGGGCGGCGGCTGCGGCAGCGGCGGCGGCCGCTGCTGCGGCAGCGGCGGCGGCGGCGGCGGCGGCGGCGGCGGGGAGCGGCGCCGCTGGGTGTTGCGATTGCAGCTGCGGCGGGCGGCGCGCGCGCACCAAGTGCAGGGGGGCGCAGTAGGTGAGGCTCCAGGCGTAGCAGTCCGCCTGGCAATGGCAGCGGCGGGGCGGCAGCAGGGGGCGCGCGTGTGTGTAAGCCTAGCGTGGCTGGAGCTGCGCGGAAGCCGCGCCCCTGGGGTCTGCAGGCGTCGTGTGCGGGGCACGCGCGCTGCGCGGCGCGGCGCGCCGCGCGCGAGCGCGGCCGGCGCCGCCGGACGGCGCACCAGTATGTTGTATGAGACGATCGATATTGCGTCACGATGCGAGGTCGCGAGGCTGCCGCGGCCCCGCACGATTGTCGGCCCGCGCCGGCGACGCCTGCTGGCCAGGAGCAGCCCGCATCCGACCAGGGTGCTGGCGGCGAGGCCGCCGATCAGCGCCGGTAGACCCATTGCAATTGCCGCGCACAATAATCAATAGTCCACTAATTTGTCAGACTGCAGTCGCGGGGTTCGACGTTCGAGTCAGTCGCGCGCGGAGGGCGGGCGTTCCTGCTTTGTAAGAATCAACGAAGCCCCTGGCCCCATCGCACAATTATGCAAGCGTGCGGGGGTAGAAGGTCGCTTCAGCACACTGCCATGACTGTATGCCCAGTCAGGCTTTCCATCATCCTCAGGCTGCCATCATGCCAGGTTTGTGGCCGCTGGGGGCACCCGTTGAGCGCACAACCGCCCCAATCACCTCGCATTGCCGCCACCGTAAACAAGCCGCTGCGCAACACAGGCACATGGCCGCCGCACGCAACCAACCGGGTAGTAAGGGTTCCCACCGCCGATGGCCCCAGCCAAAATCGGGGCGCCACAGCGAGCGCGCCCCTGCGAGCCGCGGCCGCCGCAGCCGCCACTGCCTGCGAACCAACGGCGGCGCCAGAAAATCGCATTGCGCGCGAGCCGGCCGCCGGCGCCGTCACGGGGCGCCTGGGCCGCACGCGCCGGCCGTCAAGTTGGGCGGGCCATGCAACAGCAGGGGGTCATCTCGCACGGGTGCGACTCCGCCGCTTCGAGCCCCTGCCCCCCAGCCGGTGCCGTGCAAAGGAGCTGCCTTGGCCTGCCTGTCTCGCATGACTCAGTGACATATCCTGTTGGGGGGGGCCGGGCAGCCCCGAGCCGTCTGGGCGGGCGTCAGGCGTCCGGCCATGCCCTGCGTCACACACCGCCCGCAGCGCGCCCCCGCTGACGCGGCCCGGCGCGCCGCCTGGCGCGCGCGTGTTCCCCGAGCCGGTGGCGCCCACCCCGCCGGTTGCCAGGGGCACCTCGCAGGCGGCGACACTGCAGCCAGATCGGCGGGGCTGGCGCCCGTGGTTCTGCCCGCACACTGTGCCGTTGGCAACCCGGCCAGTCCCTCGTGCTCATAGCTCCCTGGCTGGCACGCCACAATCGTGAATTTTTCGGTGCCAGCACACAAGCAATCACACTAGGCATGGAACCCCATCGACAGCAACCAAACGGCCAGATCCAGCCTCTGCGTGCAATCCCTCAATCGCGCAAGCCGTCGCTGCCGCTGCACGACAGGAGCTCAACAGCGCCGCGAGGCGCCCGCCGATGTCGAAGACGACAGCAGCAGCAGCAGCAGCAGCAGCAGCAGCAGCAGCAGCAGCAGCAGCGGCGGCAGCAGCAGCAGCAGCAGCAGCGCGTTTGTGAGATGCCGCGGTCCCCAGCGATGCCACAATCACGCAGCACTGAACACGCCACTTAACAAAGCGCCTCAAACACATCGAAAATGCCCCGAACATTGTTTCCATGCTGAGCGCCCCAAAGTTCAGGCTGCGCCGCTGTCGGCGCGTCGAGGGAACAGCCCGGCCGACAAGGCCCGCTGGTCGAGCGTCTGCGGGCTGCCTGTCCCCCCAATCCCCCCCCCCCACCCCCCCAGCTGTCTGGTGGGGCCCAATTGATCGCGATTCTCGGTGCATCCTCACACAGTTGAAAAGTACAGGGGCCACTGCAGAACGGAAGACAACCAGACACAGGCCCGTGACCGCAGGCGGGCGTGACAGCAAGGGAAAAGCCGCCGACGAAGTGACAAACACGCTGCAGCATCGCCTACGCAGCGCTGCAAGGAGAGCCGGGGCCCCTCGCGACGCCCGCGCACGCCCCGCGCCTCGTAATGCTGCGGCAGCGGCCGTCTGCCCTGCGGCCCCGCACATCCCGTCAACAGCGGGGCCGAGCCCGGGCTGCGCTGCGCCCCAATGAAAAAGGAGAGAGGCAGAGGCGGTGCAACGGACGGCTCAGGCGGCGTCGGCGGGCGCGTCCGGGAAGAGGGCGGCCGCGAATGCCTGCGGGTCGAAGGTCTGCAGGTCGTCAACTCCCTCCCCCCCAGAAAATTCCCGCCCTGGCTGCGCTTGTCTGATTGAGCCCTGTGCGTAGCAGTTCCCAGTGCCTCTGCACACGCTTGGGTTACAGAGACCACATTAGGGCAGTCAATCAGGCACGTGCCCACCACTTGAGGCGGGCGCCGTTCGGAAGCAAAGGAACAACAGGCGACGACAAAGGAAAAAGAACGCTGCAGTCGCCCACAGCTCCATCGGCAATGCACACGCACGCGCGCAAGCATGCACGCGCGCACGCACGCGCCCTGCGCTGCAGCGACAAACGAGAGGGGCGCAGCTCAGGCGGCGCTCAGGCGGCGCCGGCGGGCGCGTCCGGGAAGAGGGCGGCGGCAAAGGCCCGGGGGTCAAAGGTCTGCAGGTCGTCAACCCCCTCCCCGAGGCCGACGAACTTGACGGGCAGGCCGAGCTGGTCGACCACGGACACGACCGCGCCGCCGCGGGCGGTGCCGTCGAGCTTTGTGAGGATGAGACCCGTGATGCCGACTGTCTCGTTGAACTCACGCGCCTTGTTTTGCAAGGGGGGGATGGGGGACCAGGGGTGTGTGTGTGTGTGGC